CGCGAATCAAACGCAAAGCGTCTGAGCTCTCAGGGTGCATTGTTTCTTCGTCGTTGATGCAAACCAATTAACCGAAGCGATATCTAATGTCGAGTTGAACTAGATTCTGCATTGACAAGGTTCAGCGTATCGAAAAGATCGCTAAGCATAACAACCCGCGTGTGCACAAACACATTGATAATCAAATCGCATCATGTTTAACATCTCGTACTATGCAAATCATCTGAATGAAATTCATCAAATAATTAATGGTATCGCGATTTTCTTTAAAGCTGCACGTGAATTTTAGGAAAAAAATAGGAAAAGGGTAAGAACTGGTAAGAAAAAATTAATTATTAAATTGTCACCTGGATATCCACGATCTCCTTTTGGTCCCATCGGAGGCTCGACACACTCGTCACCCTTGTCTCCCTTAACGCCAACGTAGCCAGTAGCTCCTGTCAATCCGGCTGGACCAGGGTATCCTTGATCTCCTTTCTCTCCCGGGAAACCTGGTGCACCAGGTATACCGTCGAATCCTTTATCGCCCTTTTCACCAGGTATTCCATCCAAACCGGGTGGACCTACACGAATCAAAAGAAAAATTCATGGAACCGAATTTTTTGTATAATTTCGTCGATTCATCGATTTATTTTTATTTCCCCTACATTTCGCAAGAATATTTAATCGCATCGAAAGAATTCTGGAAATGAAATAAAAGACTCTTTTTTTCTATGTTTGAATTTTCATAGCGGCTCATTAAAATTTACCTGAGAGGCCACGATCTCCCTTCTGTCCAACACCTCCAAACAATCCAGGTGGCCCCTGATCTCCCTTTGGTCCTCTTTCTCCAGGAAGTCCAGGAGCGCCTTCGAATCCTGGATCTCCACTGCGTCCTGGTGGTCCTTCTGGACCAATGGGACCGGATTCACCCTTTTCGCCTTGAAGGCCAGGTGGTCCCCATGGTCCAGCGTCTCCCTTCGGTCCTGGCAGACCTGGGAAACCCACTTCTCCTTTCTCCCCAGGAATTCCAGGGAAACCATCCCGTCCATGCTTGCCGAGGAGTCCTGGAAGACCCTTCTCACCCTTCACCGTTTGGCCTGGGCCACCAGGAGCACCGGTAGGTCCATGGTCCCCTGAAGAAATAAGAACGTCAGATAGAAATCGCCGGCATTCATGAGAATAACCCAATTAACAGATAATCTACCTCGAGAACGAGCGTAATTTTATTGACATTGTAGAAACTTTAGTGAAGTTTACTCGTCTTGAACAAAAATAATAAAAAGTCAACGACAGGGAAGATTCACTGAAGTGAAGCATGTTTGAAGTACTAAATTGAAACGCTCGTTAGAAGTCTTCTCTGATATAAGAATTAAATAACGCTCGAGTCGAGTGATGGTTCCTTCGTTCGTGGAAACGTCTAGATTACTTCCGAGGAAAAATGAAAAAGTGAAGTGGATAATGAGCTTTTTATTTCAATTTCCTCCTTCCAAAAGGATTGTATTTAGATTGAAACTTTAAAATTATCGGCTTCTCGATATTTCTCCTTAAGCAATAACGCTGCAGGCCAAGAACAATTTAATCCTCTTTCTCAACAAATGGATCATCCGAGCACTTGATAAATGGAGGTCTGTAATTTCTCGAGTATACCCCTGCGCAACATCAACTCTCAGAATAACAGGTATGAAAAAGATTCCAGAGAAAAATCTTGTGAATTCGCTAGACGCTATTGTATTGGATTCTCATTCTATTAGTTTTGGACTCACGGACTGAATGATAAAAAATATCATTCGTCACTCGGCCGTTGAAAACTTTTCTGGCGATTGTGAGATTAGAGTCTGAGTCGAAGCCGAGGAATGTAAACACAATCGTCATATCACGACTGTACACTATCACTCACATAAGAAAAAAGGATCATAATGAAAAACCCACCTTTAGGTCCGGGTGCACCAGGTGCTCCAGGATTGCCCATGGGTCCAGGCGCCCCTCTGTCTCCCTTGACACCATCGAACCCGGCTTGTCCTTCAAATCCGCGATCTCCCTTCTCACCATCCGATCCGTGTATTCCGGGTAATCCAGGTTCTCCCTTCTCACCCTTAATATTAACCGTTGGTCCCGGAAGGCCCCTATCTCCCTTCTCGCCAAATGGTCCAGGAACTCCAGGCAATCCATCCAATCCCTGAGGTCCAGCGTCTCCCTTAACCCCGTCCAACCCCGGCCGCCCAGGCTGTCCAATTTCCCCATTAATTCCCGGGAATCCGGGCGGTCCCTGTGGTCCAATTTCCCCAGGTTCACCAGGCATTCCATCCAATCCCGGTTTACCGGGTTCGCCGTAAGGTCCAGGGAAACCTTTGTCGCCTTTAAGTCCATTGAAGCCTTGTACCCCAGTGCCTCCCTTGGGTCCTTGCAATCCAGGTAATCCATCGAGTCCACGTTCACCAGGTTCACCCTTCAGCCCCGGCAGCCCATCACGAGCGAAACCAGGTCGTCCAGCCTCTCCCTTCTCTCCGTCAATACCGTCTCTACCTGGAGCACCAATTGGTCCACGGATTCCAGGCATACCTGGCTCACCCTTCTGCCCTTTGTCAGACACACTGCCGGCCTCTCCTTTACGCCCGGGGAATCCAGGTGAACCACGATCGCCTTTAGATCCCTCCAATCCTATTGGTCCAGGTAAGCCAGGGGCACCATCAAAGCCACGATCACCTTTGGGTCCTTCAAATCCTGGTCTTCCAGGCTTACCTTCCATTCCTGGAAGGCCTGGAAAGCCTGCCGCTCCTTTCTCACCAGGTTCGCCCTAAAATTGAAGTACAATCAATTTTTACTTCAAATAATATTTATGAAAAACTCCTAAATGCAGTGGTTTTTTATTTTATTAATATTCTGAAATCATTTTTTCTTTGCAATGAGAATTTTTTACCTTTGGTCCCAGTGGTCCTTCCAGCCCAGGTCGTCCAGCGACTCCGGGGATTCCTCTGCGCCCAGGATATCCCTTCGGGCCATCGATACCAGGCTCGCCCCTATCTCCTTTGACACCCGGGAACCCAGGGAAACCAGCGCGTCCAGGTTCTCCAGGCAAACCGGGCTCACCCTTGGGTCCATCAACGCCTGAAAAACCTGATACACCTGGTGGTCCAGGGGGTCCTATCAATCCAGTATCTCCTTTTTCTCCTGGGGCACCTGGGAGCCCGTTGATTCCAGGGCTACCAATATCACCTGAATTCAAAGAGTGGTAAGTTATTAAACTCAGTGAGAAAGTTGCGTTGTAAAATTGTGAGAAGTGAAATCGATATCAGTGCGACAAGTTGGAAAATCTCTCGAAAAAAAATTTCACGGTCTTTATTAAAAATAATATGACGTATTAAATAACAATAATAATACTTTTCAAAAATCCAATAGAATTGCTCAATAGTATCCGAATAAAAATTCTAACGAAATTAAGAAAAAATCGTATAGAATACCAATAGATTTTTTTTATGCGTGGACTTTCACGGCATTCATAAATGCAATATATATCCAAACCTTTCTCTCCAGCGAATCCAGGTAATCCTGAGTATCCAGCAGGTCCTTCCTTTCCTGGTGGTCCTGGCAAACCTCGTTCTCCCTTCTCACCCGGTGGCCCAGTTAATCCTTGACTTCCCTTCATGGACAATCCAGGTTCTCCCTTCTCTCCCTTCGGCGCTGGTATTCCTGGGAATCCCCTCGGGCCGTCCCTTCCAGGCTCACCGGGGAATCCCATGGGTCCAATGTCTCCTTTGTCACCACGAGGTCCTGGCAATCCTCGAGGACCGACTGGTCCTGGAGCACCAATTGGTCCCAGTGGCCCTGTTAATCCCTAAAAGAAAAATAGATTTACATCTCATGAATTTCTGAGGTACGTTGACTCCACTCATGCGGAAAAAATTGACTTACTGAAAGTCCTTGAAGACCTTTGTCTCCTGGCAGTCCATCACGACCAGGAGGCCCTGGTTCTCCCTTCTCTCCAGGAGCTCCACGATCTCCCTTAAAGCCTTCTTCGTAATTTATGGGTGGACATTGTCCTAAAATTAACCCAAAAATAAATATGATCAAATGTCTAAATGTATTTATCTGTCAAATATAAATGGCAATGAAATGGGAGAATTAATCGTGCCTGGCTCTCCTTTGTCACCGTAAGGGCCCGGATCTCCCTTCGGTCCTGTATACCCATCCCGCCCAGATACACCCGGTTCACCCTTGATACTCGTTCCCTTGTCTCCTTTACGTCCAGGTATTCCAGGTCTACCAGGGATTCCCTCTTGGCCTGGGAATCCCCGATCACCCTATAGATAGATATTCATTGAAAAGCGATAATAATTTCCCTCAATTAAAAAAAACGTAAATTTTCATTCAAGTGAAGAGTTTTGATGAAATGAGGATGATATAGAGAAGAAAAATTAACAAGGATAATGCATGAAGTATAATAGTCTCATACCGGCTGTCCTTTGAGACCAGGGAATCCCTCAAATCCAGGTCTTCCCTTCTCGCCAATCGGTCCCTCAGGTCCTGGTGGCCCAGGTCTTCCAGGCTCTCCACGCAGCCCCTTATCTCCCTTCTCCATTTTCAACATACTCTCAGTGATAAATGCAGACGCACCAGGTTCACCTGGGGCTCCAGGAAATCCATTGATTCCGTCCTTTCCAGGAGGCCCAGGAGGTCCGATTTGTCCAGGCATTCCATCAGCCCCAGCTTCTCCTGGGTATCCCCTTTCTCCAGGTGGCCCTCTAGGTCCGGCCAGTCCAGGTGTCCCGTCAAAACCACGGTCACCCTTTGTCCCAGGATACCCAGGAACACAGTCTGAGCATCGACCCCCGATGTCTCCCTTTTCACCGGGTTCACCTGGAAATCCAGGCGTTCCATCTCTACCGGCAATTCCAGCTTCTCCAGGCAAACCTGGAACTCCGGGAGCACCAGGAATACCGTCCAGGGAGTCCCCTGGTCGTCCACGAACTCCGACATAACCACGTTCTCCTTTTTGACCCTTTGCACCATCTAAACCGGGAGCACCATCCATTCCTTTTGGACCCTATAATATCATCATTGATAATTATTTAAAAACAAATTAGCATATCGCATTTCAAGATAATAATATATAATCCTTTACAATTCGATTGTTTACCAGTTTGTTTTTAAATATAAAATCATTTTTCGAGACGAAAGGAAATTTCGAATTGCTTTTGAATTGAAACGTACGAAACCATTTTTGCAATAAAAATGACCTCTAATTTTCCACCAACTGAAACTCACAATTATCGAGAATCCTTTATCTCCTTGAGGTCCTCGTGGCCCAGCAGGCCCTGGAGGCCCATCGAATCCCCTAGGTCCACCTTCTCCGGGAAATCCGGTCAATCCAGGCTCTCCTTTTAGGCCTGATAACGTAAAAAATTGTCACAATAGGAAATTGTATCAAAGACCACTAGCTCCCCGAAAACTGCGATAATGGACATCAGGATGATTCATACCTTTATCACCAGGAGCTCCTTCAGCGCCAGGAATACCAGCTAAACCTGGTCCACCAGTTAAACCGATAGGTCCCCGTGGCCCGGGCTCGCCAGGATAACCATCTGAGCCTCGCGGTCCCACGGGACCAGGAAATCCTCTAGGTCCAATCGGGCCAGGTGGTCCAGGCTGTCCTTTTCCACCCTGGAAATTCCAAATATAATTGAATAAATCATCCCATCATGGAATTGCCACTCAAAAAAATTTTACTCCTTCACTGACTATAATATTGATTCTCTTCATATTTTTTATCGCATCGGAACCTCCAAATTCTTTTGAATTTCCCAGGGTATGAATATATATTTACTCACTCCTGGAGGTCCGGGCGGTCCACGCAGACCAGTGACACCACTAGGTCCATCGAGCCCAGGATCTCCTTTTTGTCCAGGTCTACCCGGCAATCCATTCAATCCATCGATACCACGATCTCCCTTACGTCCTGGGGGTCCTGGAGGGCCAGAAAAGCCATCTCTTCCCTAAAGCAATTTATCATCATTCAATGCTAAATGTTTATTTTTATCATGAGAAATTTCACAGGTATTCATCGCTCTTATTATTGGAAGATACTCATTAAAGAAATGATACTCACTCGAATTCCTGGAGCTCCAGGAAGACCCTTCTCTCCCTTGCCACCGTGGGTACCCGGTATTCCGGCGTCTCCGGGGAATCCAATTTCTCCTTTAGGCCCATCGAATCCTTGATCTCCCTGAGGATGAAATAAATTCATAACTACATCACTGTGGCCCTTTCGAGAAGGGGCGCCCTTATTCACTTACCTTGTCTCCTCTCTGTCCAGGTTCACCAGTTGGCCCAACTGAGCTCGTTGTGCCCGAGAATGGTGGATATTCTGGCTCCCTACCCGGGGGTCCTGGCTCTCCCTTCAAGCCCTTCTCTCCTCTCAATCCTTCGAAACCCAGCCCCATGTTACCTTTTTCTCCTTTAGGTCCCGGGGCTCCTGGGGCACCCTAATATTTTCAAATATTTTTCATTCTTTTCATTATGAATCAGAAACAAACTCATTATGAATTTAAAAAATGTAAAGAACTTGATCTCAAATCTATGATGATTGACAAAAATAATGAGAAATACTCACATAGGGCCCGTGGTCACCCTTAGGCCCTGGGAAACCACGAGGTCCTTGGGGTCCAGGTTGACCGGGTGGTCCTCTCACACCATCGAGACCAGGTTCACCCTTTTGTCCAACTGGATAGCGCCCTGCGAAAGCTGCTTCACCCTTCTCACCCTTCGGCCCTGTACCACCTCTGTAACCTCGAGGTCCAGGCTCTCCAGAAACTCCAGGGCGTCCAGGTTCACCCTATCAAAGTTATTCAGAATCATTCAGTACAATCCATTGTCGCTCGGAATTGTCTAATCACTCATGAATGAGTTTTACTCACGTCAGTGCCATTGCATCCATCTCTCCCAGGCATACCCGGTGCACCAGGATATCCTTGCACACCCGGCACACCAGCAATTCCTGGGAATCCAGGGAAACCCATCGGACCCTAAAATAACATAACAGACATATTTGAAATTAGTAATTTGAAGAAAATTATTTTAATTCGTGAAATAATATTGGAATGTTTATCTCTAACACCATGATTTAATTTTAATAATCGTTTCTGTTCAAAAATACTCACTCTGTCACCCTTTATTCCAATAGGACCTTGTGGACCAGGATCACCCTTCTCTCCTTTGGGTCCTAGCAAGCCCTCGGCTCCAGGGAAACCAATCTGACCTTTGGGTCCAGCAGGTCCAATGATTCCAGGGGGTCCTCTCGAGCCCTTCTCAGCGAAACACTTAGGAGCACAGCAGCCAGAGCCTGTACAGTTCTTTGAAGTCCTGTCACCAGGTACTGGGTACACCTGATAGCTGTCAGGATACTGACCGTAACCTGATTCTGATCTGCCCTCTGACCCTTGACCGATCCCTCCCTGGCCATCCCTTCTTCCCTGATCATAACCATCCCGTCCACGCTGATCATAACCATCCCTTCCACGCTGATCATAACCATCCCTTCCACGCTGATCGTAACCATCTCTACCCCGCTGATCGTAACCATCTCTACCCCGCTGATCGTAAGAGCTTCCGTAGCCAGTCTGTCCACCCTGGCCACTCCAGGTCTGCCCTCCTTCATTACCATAACCGGATTGACCCCCGTGGAATTGTCCAGATTCTCCTCCGCGATTCCCATCATAACGAGTTCGGTCCTGGGTGTTCTCAAAGCCATATCCAGGGCCTCCTCTGTTGTAAGGATCGTAGGAGTGACTCTGATTGTGCTCAGATCGTCCTCTGTATGGATCTCTCAAGGAATCTTCATATGATTCTGTAATCGAACCATTGGCCAATTAAAAAAATTAAAACAATTCATTGAACCACCAATTAACGGTGCTCCACCCCGATTGTAAACGGTGCGCGGAAGGGAAACGGTAGGATTTTTTTGGAAGAAAACCATTTCCTGAACACGAGAATATCGGGTTTTCATTTACTTCATCGAGGTGCATTCATCACGGTAATACGTCAATTACCCTTCGAAATGTTTCCGCTTCAAATGAAATCATCAATTAACAAAATATCGCGATTGTGTGTTCTATCATTTTTCCACTCAGAGGAAAGTTTCACCATGATAACATTTTTATCATTGATCACTCGAAATTGATGTGAACAAGTACAAATGGATTTTTTAATTCAATAATTGTGACCTCGATATTATCAGTATCTACTCAGCAATAAAATCCAATTAATTTTTTTCGTTAGTTACATCAGCGGGTTTTATCAACCTGTCATTCAGGGATGTGGGAGAATTGGGGTGAATGAAAATTTAATTAATAGACGGTGTGTAAAATCGATACAATTCCAGTCGCCTTAATAATTTTCAATCTAAAACGTCTGGCGAGAGATTTTGGCTCATCTCCGCTTAATCACGATTTTAATCAATCCTGAAGAATTACATCAAAACTGGATATCAGCTTTGAATCAAAGAAAATCTAATTGTAAATTAATTTCGCATTATGTTGAGGGATTTTCAATATACTTGAAACGTATTTTTCTAGCATTTTTCATTACAGAATCATCAATCTACGTCGTATTATTTAGGTCCTGAAGTATACCTCCTTCGCCCCAAGTACTCGGCGCAGTTTCTCCACCTTCAGACGCAATATCCCCTCGGTCTTTGTCAATTGTATCTCTCACACCACGAACTCTTCCACTTCGTATCCATGCTGTGGTGTTACTTTCCTGAGAAAGATAAAAATATCGATTGAGTTGAAGAAAATAATAGTCTCAATGAGTCATTACGCCAGACGAAACTCAGTGCAAAAAATTCTCCAATCAACAACACACATGGTTTTAATTAATCATTATAAAAACGTACACACATACATATTGAATTCATATTAATTCTATAAAAACGCGATCATAATTTCTCCATTCAAATTTTTCTTAATTCATGACTTACGGTGAAAATATCCAATCAATAGTTTCGGTTTCAGGTCAACCGATATTTAACAGAACTGGAAAATTTACATATCTAATTTTATCATTTATCCACTAATTTAATATTCACTCGAGCCTGTATGTGTCAGAAGTGTTGACAGGACTATTTGGCATTTTCATGAAGGATATCTCCATCGGGATATGGAATTCTGATGAGAATGATGAGACCATCGTCGATCTTTACATCTCAGTGTATTCCCGAAACAATTAACAATATTCTATAGGTTTTATCATTAAATATTGCATAGTAATAAATGTGTTTGTACAAGTATAACGTTTTCACAGTCAGAGTGCAAGTGGTGATACACTTGGGAGATGCATTCAAGTTCTGACAGGAAGTGCAAATGATAGAAATAGACGTTATCAATTCTACAATAACTTCTCGCTTGAGCGTTCAGCTCGTACCATTGAATGTTTTGAATAACAAAAGCGGTTAAATTTATGTTCACAGTCAATGATGGGGATGATGTCGTGATGAGTATTAAAATGCATTGATAGGAGGACTGCTCAGTGGGATAATTGCGAGTATCCAAGTTTTATGGTTTTATTTTCCGACGATAATCATCATCACTGGTATTTTCAATTTACGATGGAAGGGGAAGACCTTTACGCCTCTTTGCCTCCGGTGGATGAGTTTTATCATCTGCTCAATGAATCTCAAGTGAACTGAGATTCATGAGTCGATGGAGCAATTTTTTTTTCAATTACAGAAATAATTTCATGGGAATTTTATCAATAATTTCATCGCGTCGAGTTCAAGTAGATCAATCGGTCTAATAAATCAGAAACAGGAAATTGAGGAGTAGATGATTTTTGATGAATCAAGAATGACTTGAGGCAATGCCAACTATTTTTAAAACAGTTACTGTGATTTTTTAAATGAAACCACTCAATCTATTCAGTTTTTTTATTCGCCATTTGTTTACGCCGAATTTGGAAATTTTCAAAAATCATTCACCCGGTGGTCTCAATTCAAAAAAAACAATTAGTGAATTGTAAAATTGGATGCTTCAATTTTTTTTCAAAGGAAATCATCAAATTTATTTACCTTCATATTAATATTCAAATTAATTTGATAATGTTATTCCCTAAATTATGAAGTAACAAGGAATCTTATGTATTCCCCATGTTCTGTTTCATCCACTTATTGTCAACGATTGCGCGGTTAATCGGGGGGAAGGTCTCGACCTTGCATAATCCAAATGCGTAAGATGACGTAAGGGATGGATAAATGAGACGATGAGGAAAATCTAGAGCATGAATCGGTTATCTCACTCCCGGACTCGACCCATTCCTCGGAATTGCCAAAGTGAACTTAACGCGACTGTTGCTTAAGAGCGAAATACCATTTTATCCCCCTCTGAAATAGTCCAATGAAAATCTTCCAGTCATTTTATCCATTCACGGGAAAAAAAAGATGTTGAAGTAAACTCGGTTCAAATAGTCTTGCCTCAGTAGGTAGAATTCACAACAGGAGATCAAAAAAAAATACGTATGCAGTATTTTTTCCCGATATCAAACGATTTTTTAAAAAATTCGGGATATTATTTCTTGTCAGGTGATAAAGGGAGATAAAAGAGAGAGTTCTCATTTCTATTTTAATGGTAGGAAAAAATACTGGCGCCAACAGAGTTATTACTTATTTCCTTGTTAGTTTTTGTGAGCATTATCGTGCTTCACCAGATTTATGCGAATAGAAGATGACGCAGGGTGCGTTTTCCTATCAGTCCCTCCAAGTCCTCGGAACTGTAATCTTTGGTGTTCGGTGGAGTAGTTTTTATTGTGAGACTTTTTCCGGTGTCCTGCCACTAAATTCTCCGCGTTTTCGTGAGAAATATTCTTGGATTTTTACCTCTTAACTAGAACGAGTCATTTATTATCGATATAATTACTTGATTATCAAAAAATGCAGATTTGAAGGTGATAAAATATATATTTATTGTAAAAATAATAGTAATGAAGGGCAGAACATCGTCAATGGAATTTATACCCTGAGAATAACTGAGCGTTTATATGAATGTATAAACTGTTTTTTTATGCTATTACGGGTTGACAATTTTTTGACAAAAATGGTGAGATTTTATTGTTGCTGCGCGTTAACCTAGTTCTGGCATTTTAGATACGAGATATCTGCTCGTGACGGTTCAAGAATTGTCCCTTTTATCGTTGTCTCCTCGCCATTTTACCGCGAAGTTAACGACATTACGCAATGGAGCTATGGATGCTCCTCACAATGTTGTACCTACTCCTCTTTAATTGACGACAAAAAAATACGAGATTCATTTAACTTCAATTAGATGAAGACTTTTATGACCAAGAGCTGAATGAAATTACAAAGAACCCTGAAGATAACTCCACGCTTTAATTGCTGCATAAATTAAAGATATTAATCTCTGAAAAATGGAATCCTAAGATGTTCCCTTCGTCGCTCACACCTGAATTAATTACTCCTTTCTACTGCCCCAAATGATCAATAATTATTGATTCAGACAATCACTTGATGAATAAATCTGATTGCCCACGACAATGCAACTCTTCACCTCGACCCCAAATCCAACAAAAATCGGTAATAAACTATTTTTACAAATGAGTCACACTGCAGTGTGGATGGAACAACATAAACCTCATAACAATATTAACACGTGCGTGTGACAAACGCCATAAAAAGTCAAGTGGGCGAACGAGTGTCTCGCCAATAATGTCCCACGCGATCTGTTATAACCGCGGAAATCGGATCAATCTAAATTAATTCCACGCAATCTCGCGAAATATTGGGTGAAAGCCCATGGAAAACATTCTGTCTTCATTGCCCAGATGAAGACCAGCTCAATTTGTTGATAAACATGGAACGCCACTTGCTGCTCCAACACTTTATCGTATTCGTCTAAATGCTGTCTGCATTCTCCTCAATTAAGAATGCAAATTTCTCTCCATGTATTACATATTCGCTTTTCATTAATTCCTAATTAAAAATGAGTCAAGAGTCCAGGCGAGAGGCTTTCAATAGTGAAAAAAGAAATAAATCGATAATTATTGCAAATTACGAAAATTATTATAACAAAAAATTCACCAGTATCAAATGGTGCGCGAGGGCAGTTCACGTGTGAAGAGTTTTAACAATCTGTTGATCAATTATAAAAAGTACGGGAAAAAGTGCTTTTATCACTCCATAATCACTTTTAAAAATGACTTAAATGTACTACGAGCAGAGTATTGCATCCATTTACTTTGTGACTTCGAAGCAAGTGCATATTTTACTTCTTTCCTCAGCCCCACGGCACTGAGTACAAGTACTTTTTCCACTCATCAAAAACAATTGTTATTAATGCAAGCAAAAAAAAGCATGTACTTGAAATTTCTGTTGGGTCACTTCACCTGTTCCCTCTTTCCACAAACAAATTGTAATCCTCAAGTTGAGATGATGCGCTTGACCATCACTAGATTTTTTTTATTTATAACCATCACCTGGTTATGATCTTAAAAGGAAACACTTCCGACTGGAAGACTCTGTAGTAGGATGCGGTGGATACGAGCGAGAGGAATTGCAAGAAGTACCGCCCTTCCTCGTCACGCCGGTTCAAAGGAAAAAAAATAAAGCAAAACGATGAGGAGAAAAATGAGAGAAGCAAAAATGCTGCACGAGGAGATTGGAAAACGCGTCTGGTATCCACATGGCAAACACCACGACTTCTGTCCTGGTATTTTAAATCCCACGCGTTGGTGCATTGAAAGTGCAATTGTGTTAGTGAACTGCCATTATGTGTGTTGCTTGGGGGGACTCGGAGCAGCTATTCATGGGCACATGCGGATAAAACTGATAACTTTCTGTTAAAAAACCAAACAGGTAAATTGGGTGAACGAAAGGGAGTTTTAGGTGAGTCCAAACTCTCTTCCGCTTTCATTCATATTTTTTGAGGATCGTGATGAAGTCATTGAAAACAAACCGACATCCAACGGCAGAAACTAAGGATTATTTTTTTTTTTCAATTTCCATTTCGTCATTCTACAAAAATTTATAGAAATCCGGAATTCAATAAATTGATAACGCAATAGAATTCCATATTAAAAACGCGAAAGTTCCTTCCAAAAATGGGATCCCCCCGCAGATTCATTATTTCGCGATGAATTAAACTTTTTCAAATTTCAATACTTCAAACTGTTGGCAGGACAGAATATTGCATCTAAAATTTCGAAAAGGAAAGTGTTCTCCAGTATTTCCGGATTTGGAATTTTTGAATGACGTCTAACAGGTAAACGCTTGTACGAAATGCACGGACACGCGTTATGCGAAAGAGTGATGTCTGTCCCACGTGCTCAAAGTTCATACCATGCAATAAGGACTGTAATCAGAGGGTATTAAGTTAAACGGCCATGGACCGCGGTGTGTCTCAATCGCCTGGTGATCATCCGCACTTATGTATTCCAGTCATCCCAGACCGACTGAGCTCATCCCCCCAAAAATCTCATCTTTTTTTTCATCCTCTTCCCCCTTCTACCGAGAAATGTAAATTAAACAAGTCACCAAGGTTCATCAGTACATAAAAGCCCCCGACCCGATAAAAATAAACCTTCCATTACAATTCCATCACTAATTACTGAAAATTACTCTTCTCATTGAATTTATCTAAAATCGTGTAGAACGAAAAAATCTGTTCTGAAATGAAAAATCTATCTGCGTATTCTCGTTTTTCGTGTGTAATCATTCGGAATTTAATGGGAATTGAAACAATTAATTTTGAATTCGATGAGAAAAGGGCGATTGATAGATAAATCACAAGTGAAAGTTGGCGTGCTTTTGAATTACCGCAGGCGTGTGCGTTGACACCAGCTGAAGAATTAACGAGTGCACGAAAATAATAATCTGATTGGGTTGTGTTTGTTTGGAAGGGGAGTACCAGGAGAAGTGGTAAATGGAGGGAGATTAAATAGAGGAGATGAAGAAACGGCGGAGTTGTGAGGAAGATGCAGACGCGCATCAGTTACGTCGACGGCTGATTCGAGTAAAAATAAAGATATGAGACTTTTAGACGATTAACCCCATTTCGTGCTTCATGTCGCTCCCTTTGTGTTGGGATTTCTCTAGGGTCGACCATTTAAGATTTCAAGGGAACTGTAATTCCAGGATTTTAAAGTTGTACCTACCCCTGTGACGACTACGGACAGGCAGACCACGGTTGCGACGAATCTGTAATTAACGAAATATTGTAGTAATTGGATGACACCAGTAAAAATTCAATCAATATGAAAATAATTAGAGAAACATTACCCTGCATTAGTCAATCACTAAATTCTTTAAACTTTTTAATGAAAAAATCAGAGATAAGTCCCATCGCGTGATATCATAATTATTGGTCACTTAATTGAATGGTCATGTACAGAAGTGCTCGCGAAATATCAATCCAACAACTCCCGAAACAGCATTACTCGCAAGCTCAAGTCTCGTATTGCCGAACCGAATGAAGTATAAAAAAAATACCCTGATGATACAGTTGTCTCACGAAATTTATCGATGACGATCGAGAACTCGTAGCCGTCGGGCGCACGGCGATATCGTGCGCGCATGTGAGAATCGAAAACCCGATGGACGAAAGAAGAAGGGAACGCGAACGAGACGAAGTAAAAAGACGAGCTGAAGCTGATCGAAGTCATAAGGGGTACAAATAAAACTGAACTAAAACCAAAGAGAGGGAAAATAATAGAAATAAAAGGGAACGTGACGAGGACCCTTCTGAGAAGACCCCAGTGGAGCCCAAAAGTTGGCCACTGCCCATCTGTGCGATTTCGTCCTTGAAGTTAAAGACTTGAACTTCTTTTTTTAACCAGAAAATCAAAAGCACTAACGACCCCACAAAACCATACCCAAACACTAAATCCTGAGAAGAGGAACTTCCTCACCACGTAGTGAGAAAAAAAATGCGTCCCGACAAAAAGAAAAGTTGAACTATTGAAAAAAAAATATGGAACCGATGAAAAAGACTTACCGCACTGCCAACCGGGTCATGTTAACCACCCTGAATCACCTCCGTGGGTACAGGAGGTACCTCAACTCTCTTTGACACTACAGTTCCTCCAGTGCGTGAACCGTCCCATCCAAGGAAGGCTCTGAATGAAACCGTTCCGGAGGGAAGGTGGAGGCGGAATCAGCTCCACGCCAGCTAAAAATTCCTCCGCCGAAAAAGCAACTGCGAAGGAATTACTTGTCCCACCAGAGCCCGCACTGACCCTCTGGTGCCCCGAAAAAAGCCCCCCCGAGAGAGGGACCAAGATAAAAAAACAATTTATAAAAAAAAAAAAAAAACAAAAACAAAATGAAGAACCGCTGGAGCTCACCGTCCGGGGGAAAAAAGCCCTCTCCTGCGCATACAGCGCCGGTTCCTCCCGAAGAGTGAAGTTGTCGTGACAATTGTCGAGTCGTTCCCCTCGCCCGATACTTGAGTGCGCACCCGCCGACACCGATTCCCCGGGTTGTATAGCCAAAGCAAAACGCCTCGACTCTGGTGGGCCCCCCCAACAGATATTTTACATTGGCGCACAACGTCGAGCCGAGGTGCGCTCTCAGCTTGATCGCGGTCGCGCATCTTCCCGTGACTGCTGTGCGGCCCACGGCGGAACATTGACTTCACATGGGCAGCGCACTGCTGTCCAAACACGCCAAGAAAACCAGGGGGGCCGTAAAACCGCTGTCGTTTTCTCGGTTGACTCCGCCGTTTCACCGTGTGTACCAGCGCGCCAAACGTTACCGAGCACCACAACCCCGCGCGCGATTTTTTACACCACTCCGGCAAATTCCAATAAACAATAAACCATTGGTGGCCCCTGTGCCCCCTTTCCTGATCCTCGTCATCACCACCAGTTCACCAGCATCCGTGGAGTGTCGGATATTGCACGGTGTTAACCGACGGGGGAGGGGGCAACCGAGGAAGCCGAAAAGTGGAGTAAATCGGCGTAGGCATCTCTCTGCGCTCGTTGGTTTCAACTTGCTGAGGAAACTCGCCCCGACGCACTCCGAGGTATCGTGCCAACTGCTAACCCGTCATCGAGACACCCCAGGCATGTCGAGGTGCTAGGTTGGGACCACCATTTTTCTTTTTGTCGAGATATATTTTTTTTTTTGCTCACGGGCAAATTGCTCCGATCTGAGGGACCAGGATGTGGCCCGGGGGTGGTGGTATCGCCTCCTGCCGTCGAAGCGGATCGTACCTCCTGGTGCCCGTTGTCACCTGCATCATCGGGCTCGTACTCGTCGGGTGGCAGGTCCCCGCGACCGAGGCTGTGGTGAGTTTTTTTTTTTTTTTTCTCGATTCTTATTCGATCTTTGCGGGGACTTCGGGGATTTAATCGCTCGGGTGAGAACAGCTGATTGGGGTGACCGGCAACCTTGGTATCACGTGGTTAATCGCCAGGGAGACACTGACGCACGCGGTCGATCAATCAATTGTCATTGGAAAAAAGTTATCCATGTGTGACGTTTTTAGTTTCGCGGAACATCGCGAAACCTACGGGAGATCGAGCGAGTTGTCAATGAATTTTTTAGAGGACAATCCGAACTGCTAAATTACAAAATTGCTGCAGGAAAATTGCGATATTTTCTCTCGAGCTTACAGATTTTTTGAAGTCAATGGAGATTAGAGGAGAATTGACTTTCTCTCGGCAATTTTTCTCTCAGCAATAGATTTGATCGACAATGAATCACGGATCAAGAATAAAAACAACTTGTCTATCTTTCATGCACAGATGTCACGCCGAAAATCACGTGAATGTGGTGCAGTGAAAAAAATCTCGAGAATTAGGAGTAACAAAATAGTTGAAAAAAAAATGGTGAAATACGGTTGTGCCTGTTAATACCTCGGGATTAGTCGTCTAGTGTCGACGGCAGTCGTTTTCACCCACGCGTTTTACGTTCCCCTCCACACGTGTGAATTCACGTCAGCTATTTCAGAGTATCAGCTCACTCTATTCTCTTTTTCTTTATTCAACTTGTTTTCACGAATTGAATAGACTTCATCGAAGTCACTTGTCCGAGCGATTTCGATGCCCGATTGCGCGGGTGGCTTTTGAATTTATCAAGTCACTTATGTACGAGAGAATTGAAACATGGGGGTTCAAATTCATTGAGCGAAACAAGATGAAAGAGATTGATCGGATCATTGGGAATAATGGGCCAGTTCTTGACAGGAGTCCACATGAATGAAAGCAGTCGAGTCATCCACCATCTTTTAGCATTCCCATTATCCCACTCTTATCATCGTACCACCGCTCATTACTTTCCTCATTACACTATTTAAATTCCACTACCGAAGTAGTGAAGGGAGACAACCAGACTTTTTCCCCACTCGTGCTTGTGCAGATTATGTCTGAATTACAGAGAGATAAACCTGACTGTCTCTCTTAGATTCAGAGATATTTATCAATAACTGACTTATTAATTAGGCCGCTGTCTTTGATGTCTTTATGCGCCGTAATCAGATCAGTTGCTCATAAAAGAGCAGTATATCATGAAATTTATAGAGAAATAAAACATCAGAGACAATTAAATTTATGAGAGCAAATTAGCAGAGCTATTCCACCGCACTTGAAATCCCTAGTATTGAATTGATATTCAATCGGTGATGACGAAACGTAAAAACGCCAGTTTTCTTCACGTCCGTTCCATCATGAGTTTGTCAGAAAAATTTAAATATTATATAAACATACCCTTGCTATCTTGCAACACGAGTTTCATCATCAATCGAAGTTTTATCCTCTCTTCATTCAATTTAATGTGAGTTTCTGGAAATAAGTGAGCAATGCTCGATTAGTAATAATCACGAGAGCATGAATGGATGGCTTCAAGTGCTCCCGATATGATAAGGGAAGTAGAGGGTCCACAGGCTGCCAAGTGATAAGAAAATGAACCACTGGCATTCGTTTAATGTGTAATTAACTCATTCTTTCTTCAGTTTCCTCATGGCGCATGGCCATCGATGAACCCAGAGATTTATTATCTCGATGTTGAACCTCCAAACGGAGAAACACTTCATTTTCCAGGAAAAAATCTGTTCATTCTAGAAATTTTCCAACGGGTGAATCTTCTTGTGAGTTTACCGAAGTCTCATTCATTTTAAGAAGATTGATTAATCTTTCTCTCATAATGAGAAATCTCTCTTCCCTCAGTAATAATAAAGTGAAATAAATCGAATTTCACGTTTTTTTATTAATTATCCATTTATCTTTACAATTATCGATTTATAACGGAGACATTGATCTACTTTCTTTTAGGCTGATAAAATTTCTGACAAAAAGTCCTCTAATATTTCCTCCGAAAATCAGCGGTCGTCAAGATAAATAGATATTTTTAAAAAATTGAAAAATTCGACTTATCTAACTTTACCGCTCAATAAAATCGGGTTAAAGCAAGTGCCGTCACAAAATGTTGATCACGATATCACAAAGTTCTGGTGACATGCCACGGACATGATTGGAATGATTAATGATAATAATTAGACCGTTACAATCAGACAAATTCCCCTATTCTCTCGGAATTTATTTTTGTCGTTTTCACTAAGGGAATGAGTAGACGAAATCGTTTCGAAATACACGAGACAAAGATTCAAACTTCGATACTGAATTATCTGAGATGTTCGAGGAAGAGTTCAAGGGTTAACTTAACGTTCTCAAGAGAGTCTTACAACAAATTCCATTGAATCATTCCTCAGAGTTAAAATTGTGGCTTGCCACTCTAATTGAAGAACCTCAGCTAGAGCTCATTTTTCCCATATGTATCCATTTTTCCTGCACTTAAATGATTCCACAGAAGTTTTCAAAAACTCGAAAGCATTTCTCATATATTCAAGAGGAATAACTGAAAAATAATCTCAAGTAGTCATTATTCATGGGAAGCAAAACGACCACTTGTGATTCCTATAGACTTTCATATTTGACATTCGTATTCGTGGAGTGATAAAATTAAAATTACAGCAGTAAAATGCGCATCAAGTAATTCTTCAACTGTTATACAACACGCTGGACAATTGAGCTTTTTTTCCAATTGTTTACCGAGTTGATCCCAAGATGCAAGTGCAATATCGCATATTTAGTGAATAGCAAACGATGCGACCTCATGGGGGTCAACAATGCGGCTGGTTTACTGTCTGGAGTCATTGGAATGACGTGAGATATCAACGTGTTTGCAGAAATGATGGAGTGAGACAGTTTGTCTGATGGTTCTTCATAGATGATTACAGCATACCTGCCTACATGTACTCTACCCACAATTCAACATACGGCGTCATCCGGTCGAGAACGTTTAGCATTACTGAAACACATTATGCAGATCCCATCTTCTTCTCTTTAGTCTTTTTATCGTATTGCACCGGGATTTATTCACCTTGTGCAACTTCGCCTCAATGTCCCGTTGGTTGTTCATGCGCGACCCTGAAAATTCATACGAGGAAGTGCATTGTGTATGGACATTCAGTCTTCGAAATTATTTCACGGC